CTGTCTTGTCTTGTCTTGTCTTGTCTTGTCTTGTCTTGTCTTGTCTTGTCTTGTCTTATCCATGGGTTCGTAAAACGAATTTTCGAACTACCACGGTGGTTTGTCACTTTGCTGTTGATAGCAGAAGTCATGGGTACTCTCAGAAAAACATACCTTTAAAAATTGCATAGATCTAATGCTTTTCCTCGAAGCACTAAATAATGTCACCCTCCACCCCCACCCCACCCCACCCCACCCCAACCCCTTCTTTCAACGATTAAGTTATTTTAACAGATTATAAATTCAAAGAAATCAGACAGGTTCGGAAAGCATCGGCTCACACACTTTTTATGCAACAATGAAATTCGCACCTGCTGGCTTTCTGACTCCCCTCCCCTTCCCTATCTCACGTCTCCCTCTCTCCCTCCCTCCCTCCCTTCCCCCACCTCCTTCCTTTCACATACACAGAGTGTGGGTCAAACTCTTTCGCCCTTTCGCTCTCATCGCGAGGTCAGAGATAGAGCACGGGCCCCGAAATAGACCATCATCTCTTGTCTGTTGATCGAACATGTAAACACATGTGCCCCTGCCAGTAACCGATGTAGAGATACCGAAGCGTCATCATGTCTGTGGTCGCTGGAAGGTTCTCGGAACTAGTTTAGCTTTACTAAAGGTTTTACGACAATTTGGCTACACAATCAAGTCACAAGAGTGCCGAAGATTGAAAATGTTACAAGAGATTAACGAGCACAAAAAAGGAGCGACAAGTACGATAGATGTTTCATAGGAAAGAAAGAGTAAATATCACACACACACACACACACACACACACACACACACACACACACACACACACCAGAGAACTTGCCAACCACGCATGGAACTAATTTCCTCCCAGTGAAAATTATTTTGAACCATTTTTAAAAGCGTCACACGACCTAATGTCGCTGCACTGAGAGTGGAGGCCCTGGATGCGCGTGCTAGCTTTTAAAGTAATTCCGAAGAGTGGGGGCCGGGGGCGGCAGTGTACAGTCCAACACTTCCATGAGCCCGATGTAAACCAGAAAAGTAGAAGAAGAAATATGAAAGAAATTTGGGGACTGAAAGTGTAGGACAAAAAAATACACGAACTGTTGTTTAGATACACTTTTTAAGACTGTGACTGTTATGAGAGGGGGGGGGGGGTATCTTTACAAAGAATTTCTCAGAATGGATTATTTTAGCTGACTTACCTCTGCCATCTGTACCTACTACTATTTATTTTGTATGAATGTGAATTTCACCTCCAGTACCTTTCGAGAACATCAACTCCAAACATAATTGCCAGTTTTCAATCTCAGTTAACCCTTTAAGGACGAAGCGAACACATACATTTTTCGAATGCAGTTCTCTGAATATATTGATAACAGCTCCGAATAATCTTACGGGTTTGATAAAACAGATAGATTATAAGTGAAGCAGCGTGGTGGAACCAGGCCCTCGTCAAAATAATCAAAGTGAAGAAACGTGCATTTTTCCGAAGGTTTGTAAATTTTTATCAAATGTATGTTTTTTGGCCCAACACCTTTCATGTCCATTAAAGAACTCATTTCTGTGTGGATGTTTCTGAAAACCGTTAATTAAAGGCACAAAGAAATGTAAATTTTCAGTTACCATGGACTCTTAAACTAAGGAAATAACTAATCTTTGGCGGCCATTCTCTCACTAATTTTACTTCTGAAAACAGGTGACCCCCACCTCCTTCTTTCGCAAATATCTCGACTTGTATTCAAGATAAATGGACATTTTTTTCATCAGACTAAAGATAAGTGAACAAGTTTTAAGATGATACAAATAACTCTACATCTCAAAAATTGACGAGAGCCTGATTCCACCACGCTGCCTCACATAATATGGTTTTTTACCTCATAGTCTTAGTAACCCAAAAAGGCAAAAAGTATCAGACAAAACTGTTGTTCTGAGGTTGCGAAATTACAAATAACAGGTAACATATCGTGACACCGTCGGTGCAATCCGTTTGGGGGCAGCTCATGGCTGCCAGTTGAAGTTTCTTATGTGTTCTGTCTTCTAGTTAAATGACCATTCGAATCGATTCATGTTTTTAAATACAAGTTGCTTTTAAGCCCCCATAGACACAATTTAGATCATTTAGGAGGAGGGCTTCTGACTCTGCCTGCCTGTCGGGGCCAACAATGGCTTAGAGGGATACAACATTCCGGCAGAAAAACTGAGGTTCTCAATAAAAATTTCTCCCCAGTCAGGAATTGAACTGGAGCCTCCTGCGTGCGGCAGTGTCGCGTCTGACCTCTTCTCCACAAACGCTGGTAGACAGACTGAGAAACCGATAAAACTTTCTCTCTTGATACGTTTCGAAATTGCGCCTTCTGAGTACAACACACACGAAAGTAATCATTACGCAATAGACACCAGCGGGAAAATTATGAGCAAAAATGTGCAATTTACTAACTTTCCAACTCTCAACTCATAATTGGTTATCATGCTCCATAAAAGTGCTTTGGGCTCTCATAAAGAATACTATTGGTATGACTCAGCTCGTTAGATGACTGTAAACGTATTTTACGCCCCCATCAACTCAACTTAGATTATTAAGCAGCCATGCTGTTTTGGCCATGCTTGTCATAAGGGTCAGTCCTCCTTGTGTGATGTACAAATTCTCAGAATAAAATAATAACCCCCAAATGAAAAACCAAATACATAAACAAAGAAACTGGGAAAAACAAAAAATCAATCCTACATTTTTTTTTTTGGGGGGGGGGGGTTGAAAAAATCTAGTTATCAAGTATTATAATATTGAAGTTCCTACGTGGCCTTTTTTTTAGAAGGGCTCTAAGATTTCAATCTTCAGGTATCTATTTTATTGTCGTGGGTTGAATCAAAGATGTTAGGTGACCATAATATAGTTTTTGGGGTCACTTTCTTCAAACAGCTCCCTTACAAAGACAACCATAGATATCTACG